TAAAATGAAAATATTACAGGAAAAAAAAAAAATTTTAATTTCACCAGGACAAGTTTTCAAACTGCCATTTTTTCTCTTGTTGAATTTGTTAGTAATGAGTCCTGTTAACAGTCAAAGTGAACTTTTGTTACCCCCCCCCCCTCCCAAAAAAAAAAAACTAATAAGATAAAATTCCACCAAATATTCAGAAGGGAGAAAGTCATAAATGGCAGTCAAACGATGGGTTGACTCTGAAGAGGTAGTTCAACCAGGTCGACTAATTCCAAAAGTAAATATTAAAATTCAACCTTGATGGTGATTGATGGGTTGTCTTTAAACCACATTCACAAGGTGAGAGATGGCATACAGCGAAAAAGAAACACTTCAAAATATCTAAGAACAGATTTCTGGGGTTTAAGTGTAACTTATAAAGATCTACTTAAACTACATCTATACATTTGCACAGGTGACGCATCAGTGATTAATGTGACTATTACAAAACATTTGTAATTGTATGTTAACGCACCGAAATGTGCACTCTTTGTCTCCCACTCCATTGACTTTTATCAGTCAGCTAGCTCACTTCCACCCTTGATTATGTAACTCGTATTTACTTTATAGATCACTCCCCAGTTTGTGCTATTTTAGTTAGTATCCCATGAACCATCATGTGTTTACATTTTGCCATCTTAGCCAATCACGTTAGTGCATCCACGGCGTCCCTTAGTCTTGGCTACTCTCATCTCATCATTCAGTTCCTGCTTTCATACAGTGAGCATCGTTCAAGTTTTCAGCTACAAATTTGCACTCTTTTCCCTTGTCACCACTCAACAAATTCGCCATGGGTAAAGCTGCACGAAAGAAGACTAGTACATCCAGTAACTCCGGCGCTGCTCGACGACCTGGCAGGCCACGCCGTAATATCCAGCCGCCCGCACGTTTCACGGAGCAAACCTCGACGCAAAACCAACAACAAGCCGCTGTCCAACAGATCGTCGAGCAAACAGATTCCTTGGCCGCAACATCCGAGTCATCTTTACAGAGTATGCCAAGAAACTTCACCGAGTTAACGAACATGATTCGCATGCACTCCCAGGCCGCCGTTGCCGAGTTCCAAGCCTCCGTATCCAAAGAACCAAACAGCGCTGAACCAATCGCAACTCCACCAACAAGCATTCCAGTTTTCACCATTCCCGATGACCCAGCTCAAAATCAACTTTCGCCAGCATCCACCGCCGGCAACGCAACGTACAGTTTAAACACACCCGCCGATCACAATGTCAACACAGCTATTCAGCCATTTTCAGTCAACGGTACAAACGCGCATGCGCAATTCCCAACGCAACCAACAAACAATCATACAACTTCCGCTTTCCTCAACTCCGCATCGAACCAGCCTGCGTTCCAAAACAACCACAGATCTAACCTGGTAAACAACGCAAATGGGATTTTCACGAACCAAACGCCATGGCAGACATCACCGTTCAACATACCCAACCTCGCCGTACCTCCAGAGCATTACAACCTACCATTTATCGAACAAGCCACACTAAATGCAGTCAGCACCCCAGGTAAATACATTGACCTTTCCGATTTTCACCCCGACGTAACCTTGCCGAACTCTGTAACTACAAATCGTAGCTACATCTCTTTCGACCCATCAGTCCCTTCAGCCGCCTGTCTCACGACCCAATCAAAGAAAAAAGAAATCGACACTTTTGAATCATGGATTGAATGCTACCTTGCATACGCAGCCTACCGTTCATTCTACTTCCCGGAAGACGCCATTCCCTTGATGAACTATGCTAGACTTCTTGCCCCACGGGCAGCGACCTACAAGCCAGAAGCGTGGTTAACATATGATAAACAATTTCGATTGGACGCTGGTAAACACCATGGCTCATCTACCCGGTCGTGGAGCTCTCCAAATACATTCCTGGACCACAAGAATTTCCAACAAAAACCACACCTGATCGTTCCAACCTGTTTTGAGTGCAAATATAAAGGACATGTGTCAAATCCGAATGCCCTCAACGTAGATCATCCAACCCATATTACTGGAGCAACCAACAACAACAACAACAACAACCTAGCAACATAAACAGACAAGTATGTCGTGACTTCAACAGAGGGTCCTGCAGCAACCCATGTACCAATGGCCGCCAACACTCATGCTCTGTCTGTCACGCACCCGACCATGGTGCCCACACCCACCAGCAGCAACCCTCCAACTCAACTCGAAATTTTTTTCGTGGCCAACAATTCAACCAGCCCAAGCCATTTCGTCCAAACGACGCTACCAACCGAAATAGTTTCAACACTGCAAACGTCAACTCCAATCAAGCTTAACGAACTAGCACTAGCCCTGCACGACCACCCAGACAAACCATTTGTGGCATCCATACTCCTAGACATTTCGCGTGGTGTAGACCTGGGCTTCACAGGCAATCGCTCTGCCAGACAAACTCCAAATGCCAAGTCTTCACTCAAACACAAAGACATTGTCTCAAAAGCCGTAATGAAAGAGGTCAAACTGGGGCACACTATTGGTCCATTCTCCGAGCCACCCTTTCTAAACTTCGTCACTAACTCCCTCGGGATCAGGCCAAAGAAGACAGGTGGTCACCGACTCATAATGGACTTGTCCCAACCAACGAACAATAGTGTAAACGACTTCATACCAAAGGAAAACTATACTTTGGTCTATGCTCGCATTGACGATGCCATCGCCATGATCAACAAACATGGGCCCGGTTCGCTTCTTGCGAAAGTAGACATCCAACATGCGTTCAGACTGTGTCCTGTGCGAAAACAAGACTGGCATCTACTCGGGTTTAAGTGGGACGGCCATTACTACTTCGACCGCGTCCTTCCATTTGGTCTGCGGTCTGCACCTTTCCTATTCAATAGGATCGCCACAGCACTTGAATGGGTAGTCAGACACCAAGCCAAAACAAGTGACATCATACACTATCTCGACGACTTCCTGGCCGTCGGCCCACCCAATCATCAATCCTGTCAACGAAGCAAAGACATAATTCTAAACACCTGCTCCACACTAGGCATTCCCGTTGCTGCCAACAAGGTCGAAGGTCCATCATCCATTATTACCTTCCTCGGCGTCGAATTGGACACAGTCGACATGGTCATCCGCCTACCAGCCGACAAACTTGAAAACATCTTATCTGCTATTCCACTGTGGGCTAACAGATATCACTGCTCTAAACGTGAACTCCTATCACTAATTGGAACTCTGAGCTTTGCATGTAAATGCGTTCCTGCGGGAAGGCTGTTTCTAAGACGAATGATAGACCTCGCCACCACTGCTTCATCAATCAACCAAATTATAGTCCTTTCCAATGACTTTCGCCTAGATCTCCAATGGTGGTGGGAGTTTCTTCCAAACTGGAATGGCTCCGCCCGCATTCTCGCAACATCATGGTGTCTGACCCCAAATATGAATCTCTACACAGACGCTTCATCTGTCATTGCCTGTGGGGCCTTCTACAACAAGCAATGGTTCACCCTGCCTTGGTCACCGGACAAATGTTCCATCAACCCTCCCCTCTCAATTGAATGGAAGGAACTTTTCCCTATCCTAATTTCATGTCTAATTTGGGGCCACCTTTGGCATGGGCAAAAAATCATGTTTCACTGTGACAATGAGGCAATCGTCAACATTTGGAAAAAAGGCACTTCAAGATGTCAACGCATCATGTCGCTTGTGCGTGCCATCTTCTTCACCGCAGCTAATGGCAACTTCCACGTCATGATAGCACATATTCGTGGTACTAACAATTCAATTGCTGACTCTTTGTCTCGTTTGCAGATGAAACGGTTTCGCCAACTGGTGCCAGACGCAGCAACAGAACCAGTAACACTGCCAGACCTCGACAGCTACTATCCACAACAGTAACTAGACTTGAGCAACAAGCCCACCAATTCATGCTCCATCGCCTCTCGGCAGCAACACGGCGCACCTATTCATCAGGTCAGTCCAGATACCGTCTCTTCTGCCAACAACACAGGCTAACGCCCGTACCCGTGACACCGAGGCTTGCCACTCTATTCGTCACACGTCTCGCCATGGAGGGTCTAGTCTACAAGTCAATCAAAGTCTACCTTGCCGCTATTGTCAGCCTCAACGCCGAAACTGGACACACTGAGGACATTGCATCTAACAACATGCTGCGCCATGTACTACAAGGTATCAAACGCGATCACGGTGACCCCATTCGCCCAAGATTGCCAATCACAATGACACTAATGCGTAAAATCAAGAATGCTCTCAGGTCGCACCCTGCGATTCATGTCAATGACAAACTAATGCTGTGGTCTGCTTTCACCTTAGCTTTTTTCGGGTTTTTACGAGTTAGTGAGTTCACCGCCACATCAGCTTCAATATTTGACATCGATGGTACCCTTCTCGGCTCAGACGTACAGCTCACAGACGATCTTATCGTCACCATTAAAGCTTCTAAAACAGACCCGTTTCGCCGTGGCCAAGTCGTCACCATTGCACCTACGCAGTCATCTATTTGTGCGGTTCGCGCATTCCGCAACTACAACCCGGCAGCCCTCAACGCACCAGCGTTCTGCTTCACGAACGGCAAATTCCTTACGCGTCAAGCTGTAACATATCACCTTCGCGACCTACTCCTTCGTGCAGAAGTTCCAAATGTGTCTAATTATGCCAGTCACAGCTTTCGCAGTGGTGCAGCAACAACAGCTGCCGAGGCCAACCTCCCCGACTGGCTGATAAAAGTCCTAGGACGATGGCGTAGTGACGCATATCAGCTGTACATTACCACACCAACTGACATTATTCGTAAAGTACCAGCAACGCTTGCTCAACATCGCTGAACATTGCTAGAACTTAACATCTCACCAATTTTGCAACTGGCAAGCAGAACACTTGTGCTTATACACACACATGCCTCGATCTCGTCATTTATTATCTGCATGTGCTTTACATAACCATCGCATTCATATGTATTCGATTCATTTTACTCGTATTTTCTAATTTTGTAATCTTGTAATTTTTAGATACTATTCGATCTTTCGTAGTTTTAGTTCGCATTTGATTCTAGTTTGCTTTGATTTATTCATTTACTCGAATGTTTGTGTACACCAACTTAGCCTAAAAGAAAACTGTAAACTATGCTTCCAGTGCATGCACGTGCATCCATTGCAGGCTTATGCCTACTACATCATGCTCCTTGGCATGCCACTGCATCTAATTTGGGGGGATTGTCACACAGGGAATCCATACTCTGTTTGGGCAACACGTCGCACTTGCCCCGAGATGAGTTGAAAGTTACAACTCGCCGCGGGACATAGGCCTCAATGACGCCTACACACAGAGTACCCTTAGGTGGCGCCCTCACTCAAGTACCACGTCGTCCTTGCCATGATGTTGGTCAAAGGCGACCAATATCATGGAATAGACGGCTAAGACGCTTGTACGCTGAGGCTCTCGATCCCCCTACTTTTTCTCGCATATCAGTCTCTTGTGTCATTTCTAGTGCGTTAATGTGACTATTACAAAACATTTGTAATTGTATGTTAACGCACCGAAATGTGCACTCTTTGTCTCCCACTCCATTGACTTTTATCAGTCAGCTAGCTCACTTCCATCCTTGATTATGTAACTCGTATTTACTTTATAGATCACTCCCCAGTTTGTGCTATTTTAGTTAGTATCCCATGAACCATCATGTGTTTACATTTTGCCATCTTAGCCAATCACGTTAGTGCATCCACGGCGTCCCTTAGTCTTGGCTACTCTCATCTCATCATTCAGTTCCTGCTTTCATACAGTGAGCATCGTTCAAGTTACCTCCCACCCTCCCATCATTACAGTCTGCTTCTTTATTTTGTTTTTTTTCCTCTGTACTTTTTTCATGTTTTGGTTATTTATCAATAAATACAGCTAGGGGGGGGGATTGTCACACAGGGAATCCATACTCTGTTTGGGCAACACGTCGCACTTGCCCCGAGATGAGTTGAAAGTTACAACTCGCCGCGGGACATAGGCCTCAATGACGCCTACACACAGAGTACCCTTAGGTGGCGCCCTCACTCAAGTACCACGTCGTCCTTGCCATGATGTTGGTCAAAGGCGACCAATATCATGGAATAGACGGCTAAGACGCTTGTACGCTGAGGCTCTCGATCCCCCTACTTTTTCTCGCATATCAGTCTCTTGTGTCATTTCTAGTGCGTTAAATGTATTTTGAATTGAATGTAATTTTTTTAATGAGCCATATGGACCTACGTATATGAACTGAATATTTGAGAGTTGGGTTGTTTGACTGATTTATTTTACAAATTCAGATAATACTATTATTCATACTATACTTCATGTAGATGATTCGATTATTAAATAATTAATAAATATATATTGATAATTCGTGATTTTATACTATATCCATGCAGTCACTTGAAGGCTGAACATTCGATCAATACTAATTATTATACCCCTCCCTCCGATTTTTCATTCCTACATACCGATGTTAAATCGGGAAAAATAATGCAACTAGTACTTATCGAAATATTCAGTGACAACATGACAACATGAAGCAATGCATTTGTCATTTTGTCAAGTTTTAAGGATGTCCACATAGGTCACGTACATTTTGTGACAGTCCCTCAACAACAAGAACGTAGACAACATGTACACTGATACACACTGCTCAATAACACTGCGTCAACATATCAATAGCCCAAGCATGTGCGTGCGTAGCATTGTCGGAAACAAGCCAAAAAAAAACGCGTTTCATCAAAGA